TTGGTCTGCTGCCATTCTAAATGCATGTTATAACTGAGCCATAATGCATATAAGTGGTTTTTTGGGTAATTATCATATGTCTCAACCCTCAAGTGCTATTTATAGCCTCTACAATAAAGACTAAATTATTTTAATTACCCAAGAAGTGAAATAATCCCTTAAAAGTTCCAGCTCTGGCTGTCTGGATGTCTCAATGGCATCACAAACACATTTTTATAGAGATATAAGGCTATACTTAGGCAGATATGAAATAGTCTTATGAAAACTAAGTGATTAATTCCAACTTAAATATTTGATATGTGTTAATAAGTATTTCTTGATGATGAAAATACTTCTATGCTTATTTATAAGAAAGATACTTAAATATAATTTTCCTCTAGGAATAGAAACATAACTGAAAAAGAAAGATTTTAAATAAGAGATAAGAATGAAACATTAAAAAATCCATCTGAATAGAGCCTGACAAAAATCATCCTGCTTTGAAAGGATTTCATAATTGGATTCAGTCAAGTTGTATAAGAAGAAGTCCCATGAGAATAGTCAAAGGTGGTAGAAATCTTTCATTCAGAAATGAGTATATCATAGATATAAAGAATACTTGGTCAATTAATGGATTAGGAATGTATTTTCTTTTTATCGGGAAAGAGAACCACGTTTTAGTCTTTGTAAGAACTTACGTTTTGATTTAGAGATGACACACAACAGTAATGATGGTGATGAGCCTGGATCCTTGAAGGAAAAGACACAGGAGAAATCCACCTGTATTTTATTTTGTGATCAGCACTAATAACCTGCATGAGTCAGCGTGCAGATAGGAGCATGGTCGATGGGCTCGCCATCCATGATTTCCTGCTTCAGATACTTGTCAGTAATCAAACTTTAGCTCTTGCATATCCTAAGTGTTTGGGTCTCTCTATATAGAAACACACACTCTATTATAAATATATAGATAGACAAATGGAAGAAAAACGAATCTAAATTTTGACTTTGTATGAAAAATTTAGAAAGCCTTGCTTTAATAAAGCTAATTACAGTTGATATGTAATTTGCATGATAAAATGCCAGTTTACATCTCTTAATCTTAAATTAGCATTACAATTACATTCTGGATATGTAAGAGTGTTTCAAAGCACTCAAAAAGAATCCATTTACTTGAATTTGCAGATGTTTTTTATATTATGTTTTCAGTATTGGCTTGGGAAATTAAAATCTTTTCATGGTGAAAGTCAATAAAATAATTAATCCAATGTCAAACCAAGCCCTTGTTCTTTTATATAGAAAAAGAAGAACCCCCTTTTGAATTAATGAAATTTGAAAAAAAGATTTATAATTCTGTGAATGTTTGTATGAAGTTGGCATATAGTCATACTTTCAAAGCTATCTTCGTTAACTTTTATAAATTTTTCTTATTTTGCTTCTTGCAAACTTTATAATGCAGATATTTGATCTAGTAATGCAATATACTGATTGATATCAGAAAAAAATTTTACTTTTTGTTTTTTTTTTGTTGTTAAAGCAATAATTTTATGTAAATTAAGTTTTAAATTTTCGCCTTTCATCATTTTTAATTTTATGCAGTGATTGTTTGAGCTTCATGTTCTTATGGCCTGCTACAACACAGTTATACCATAAAAAATATTGAGGGCATTTAGTGAGAAAGGGGATCTGGAATCAACTAGACAAACTTTTTCTTCTTAAATTAGGATTCTATTTTTATGTTAGTATAGTCACTATTATAAATTATTATTAAATTTTTTTAACTTTTATTTTAGGTTCAGGGGTACATGTGCAGGTTTGTTATATAGGTAAACGTGTTTGTTTTGTAACTTGTTTTTTCCCTCATGGGAGTTTGTTGTACAGATTATTTGGTTATTTAGGTACTAAGCCTAGTGCCCAATAGTAATTTTTCCTGCCTCTCTCCTTTCTCCCACCTTAACCCTTAAGTAGACCCCAGTGTCTGCTGTTCCCTTCTTTGTGTACAGGAGTTACGTGAGTTATTTTAAAGAATCAATTAAAATATTTATAGGACTATACAAGAAAAAGATCCAGTCGTCCCTCTTATGCAAAACATTGATGAGAAAAAAAGGAAATCAGATTCAACATCCCTTTCTAAACTCGTTGGATTTGATTTATGTGGGAAATGATTTTCTGGGGTGTGTTAAGAACATAGTTGGGGCACTATGGGGAGACACAGAAGGAGGTAGAGCTCCTCAGTAGTGTTGAAATAAGGTAGAAAGTCAATAACAAAGCTCTAAGGGTCAAAGAATTACAATTGAAAGGACAGTGGGGCACACATTTAGCAGACCTAATAGGACTCCTACAGTTTAATGGTTTTTTTAAAAAAAATTCTGAAAGACACTTACAAAGTTGCTTTAGACCTCACAGTCCCAAGGGCAAGACAAACTTAACTCTGCAGATCTGTAATGTGACATGCAATTAATGCTCTATGAGCCGTTCGCTAGAAAAGAGTTCAATGGTCATCAGTTAAAACACTGTGATGATAATTTCAATTACTAGCTAATTTCTAGATTTGAGAATATACTTTATTTTTTCAGTATGATTATGTTCCTTTCTGAGTGCTCATATGAGCTGAGAGTGAAAATCCTTGGCACTTGTCTATTCAACAGGAGCATTCTGCTATAGGAAAATGATAAAAGTAGGGAACAATTCAACAGGAAAACATGAGTTTCAGGAGTGTTGTTTGGAAAGAGGAGCCCATTTTTAAAAGAGACACATTGGCAAGTTAGCAAACAGCTGTCCTAATAATTTATTAGAGGTTTTATTACATTTCATCTGGGAGAAATCACTGAGGTCACTTTTTAACTGAAGCAATCAAATTATAAAAAAGACTCAAGGAAATCAAAGAAGAAGAAAGCTAAAAGGCCTGCTATTTCATCTTTTAGACAAGAGTGACACTTGACTGAACGCCAACAGTACGGGAGGAGGTGCAGATATTATGTAAAGGTATGGAAGTTAGGTCCAGCTACTGAGCTCAGACCAAAATTCAGCATGTTCCAGAACTTTTGAAGGAGGAAAGACATGATAACCCATGCTATACTTGTTTTCTTCTCTCTTTCTCTCTCTCTCTCTGACCAAGTCTCACTCTGTTACCCAGGCTGGAGTGCAGTGGTGCTATCTTGGCTCACTGCCACCTCCACCTCCTGGGTTCAAGCAATTCTTCTGCCTCAGA